GCCTTGGTCCACAGATGGAGCCGCTTACCTCTGGGGGTGCCTGGGACTCCACACTGATGCCAGCCATCTGCTGAGGCCCCTGTGGAACCTGAGCTGTCTCACAGCCGTCACAGTCACCTCCCCTGACATCAAGAGACACCGTGATTGGGAGGTACACCACAGCTGGCCCAGGCACCGCCCTCCACAGGTGACTGCTGTCACAGGTGGTCCAAGGGGAGGGGTGGCAACACAAAAGACATCTGCCAGGACACCTGCATCCTAACCACAGGGGACTCTGGTCCTGGCAGAGGAGCCAATGGAGGTGACAGCACTGGCAGAGCGATGCTGTGGACCGCTGACACTCACTGTCACAGCCACTGCCCTAGGCTCCTACCTTCCAGCCGCAGGATGAAGATGCAGAGTTAGAGAAACTGAGTCACAGAGCGAAAGCGGGTCTGTTGGCACATTGCCGATATCTGCACCACAGTGGGATGAGCATATAGCAGCAACTCAGAAGTGGCACCAAGGCCCAGGCCTCCACACAGGAGTCCCTCCAGGGCAGCTGGAGCTCATTTCAGAAGGCTTCCTGCAAGAGGCTGACCTCGCCTTGTGAGTTGGTGGAAGATGTCTGAGTAAGCAGGGGCTGCAACAGGTGCTCACTCCACTGCCAAGGGCAGTCCTCTGACACTGGGTGGGACACAACAGCCAGGACAGCAGCCACAGCAGGGCGGGGAAAGTGTGTCCCTCCACGCCGAGCAGGCTGCTCGCTTCTACAGGCACATGAATGATTCTGACAATGGAGATCTCAATGCACAGCACAGCCAGCGTCAGCGTCCCCCCTGCTTCCCTCCCTCTCCCCTTCTCCCTCCCTCCCTCTCTCTCCCTCCCTCCTTCCTTCCTTTCTCTGAACCCTATGAGGCCCAAGGCTAGGGCAAAGGCCATCCTCATTTTACACGTCAACTACTGCACACAAAGGTCAAGTGGATGACCTCGGGCCACCAGGGTCTACCTGCCAAGACAACAGCCCAGACTGTGCACAGCCCTGGCCGGATGCTCTAACCCAGGTCCTGTAGGCGTGAGAAGCATCAGCAAAGCTGCCCCAGTACCCAGCACAGGGCAGAGCTGAATCTGCACCACGGCCCTGCAGCTCTCAGTGAATGCACGCACAGTGCATCATCAGCACTAACCCCCTTCTAAAACAGACTTGCAGAGGCTGTGGGGAAAATATTCCCTGTGTGTCTGCAGGGGCTGCTGAACTGAATCCACGCTCCGGGGACCAGAAGTTGAGCCTAGAAGCCTGGCACCCTGCTAACAGCCAAAGTGGGCAGCAGAATAGCATGGTGACCTGCAGTGCCACTCAGCCGAGGTTTCAGTCCTCATCCACCCTGGACAGCGACTGGCCTCTCCGAGCTTCAGTCTCCTGTACTGCAGAAGCAATGCCATCTTTCCCACTGGGCAGTTACAGGATTAAATCAAAGGATCCATGGAGGCTGTGAGCCCAGTGTGCCCCTGCTCTGCCTCCCTAGAGACTAGAGGGGCTGTGACACCACACGGATGAGTGGCTTGGTGGGTGAGCATCAGGCAGAGGCAGTGGCCATGCCAGGAGGGAGGGCTGGTTCCCTGGGAGTGACCCCTGCGGGGGAACTCGTGAAGTCTTTCTAGGATCACAAGGACTAAGAAACCCTCCCGCCTGGCCCTCTGCCCAGGTGCATACACAGTGCTGAACTCATTATTTTATTTATTTATTTGTGCGTTCGTGTGTGTGTGTGTGTGTGTGTGAGAGAGAGAGAGAGAGAGAGGGAGAGAGAGAGAGAGAGGAGAGAGAGAGAGAGAGAGAGAGAGAGAGAGAGGAGAGGAGAGGAGAGGAGAGGAGAGGAGAGGAGAGGAGAGGAGAGAATCTCTCCTCCACTGATTCAATCCCCAGTTGTTGCAGCAGCCAGGGCTAGGCTGAGGGCAAAACCAGGAGCTAGGAACTCCAACCAGGTCTCCCATGTGGGTGGCAGAGCCCCAAACTCTTTAGCCATCACTGCCTCTCAGGGTCTGCACTGGGAGGAAGCAGGAATCTGGAGCTTGAGCTGGGTACCAAAGCCAGGCCCTGCGATATGACACATGGGCATCCTCACCGCTAGGCTCACACCCACCCCAGCTCTTCCTTTGGTGGACAGTTGTCACCGTTCATGCTCTCTGGCAGTCACCACAGCTCTCTGCTGAAGGCAAGGTCTGGCCCTCAAGCAGGAAACCAAACGCAGGGCAAGAGAGTGACAGTGATCTCTGGGGTTTGTAGCTCTGCCCCAGGGAAGGGACTAAGAGACACGCTGGTTCTTCATCTGCAGCCAACGTCAAGAAGTGGTGAGCACTGGGAACCTGGAAGGAAGCAAGTGACCAAGCGTCCCTGTTAGCCAGCTGGCTGGCTGCTCTGTAACCAACTGCATCCTTCTTACCTGGTGCAGCTGCTTTGCTCTTCATTCCACAGATGAGAAAACCGAGAATCACAGTTTTGATGGCTTGGCCAAGTTCACACTCCTAGCAAGTGTTAGGGCTCATGTTCTTTTTCTACTTGTTTTTTTTTTTTTTTTTTAAGATTTATTTGTTTTGATAGCCAGAGTTAGAGAGAGAGAGAGAATGAATCATCTATCCACTGGTTCACTCCCTAGATGACCACAGTGGCCAACACTAGACCAGGCAGAAGCCAGGAGCCAGGAGCTTCATCCAGGTCTCCCACATGGCCTAAGCACTTGAACCATCTCCCACTGCTTTCCTAGGTGCATCAGCAAGCTGGATTGGAAGAGGAGCAGCTGGGACCAGAGCCCATGTGGGATGCCGGCATTGCACGTGGCAGCTTTATCAGCTATGCCACAGCGCCGGCCCCTTATGTGCTTTTCTTACACAGCATTGTCAAACCAAGGCACTGACAAGGACACCTCTCAGGGCCTCGTCCGGGAGCTGACACACGAGAACTGCATGTCTCCAATCGGGCCAATGTTTAATTCTCCCTCAGGCACCTCTCTCTTTCTCCATCTTCTGTTTTAGCAGAGGGAGGTAAAGGAAATACAGCCAGATGGAGTGGATGGGGGACTTCTGAACTGTTGTCACCTCAAGAACTCAGCGTGGCCAGCAGGAGAACAGGCCCTTGGCGCTGGTCGGGAGAGGCTGCCAGAAGTGGCACAGGGCAGGGTGAGGGGAGTCGAAAGAGCAGGGTGAGACCTCAGGCCCAGTGAGGGATGCAGCAAACAGAAAGAATGGGCAAGGTGGCCCTGGTGACCAGGCTCTGGGAGACCATGCAAAACTAAGCCCGAGGCTGGCAGTCATCAGGAGACTGAAGTCTGATCTCAGCTCCGTCTGGGTGACTCCCTCTGGCTGGGTGACTGCGGTTCTGGGAGACATACAGCAGGGGCTTGGGACTGTCCTCAGGTGGCTCCTAAAGGCACCCTGGACCCCCTGGGACCCTCCATGAAGCAGAGGGCCTGCTGGGCTCCCCCCCCCACACACACACACACACGGCTGCCCACTCCAGGGTCCTGTCAGCTGCCAAGCCCAGAGCCCTTGGTAGGGCGTGTGAAAGGACTCACTTTGTGAGTGGCCGGCCCCTCCCAAGGGTAACTGCGTGCCCCAGGCTCTCCCTGCCCCGGGGCCCTTGGTGGGGAGGGCGTCAGGGAGGCCAGAGGGCCGGCCCTGCAGTTGTGGTCTGTTCCTGCCGCTCCCCAGGCCGCGAGGCGGGGGCAAGGCAGTGAGTTTCTGCCACCCTGCGGCCCGCACCTGCTGCACCCCTCTGAAGAGCCACGGCTCGGCTGGGTAAGAGGGAGGTGGGCAGCTGAGGCGGAGGAAAGGGCCCGCGGACAGGAGAGGACGCCGAGGGGTCTGCTGCTCCCGTCCGGCCGCCTCGAAAGAACAGCCTCCGGCCTGGGATCGCCTGCAGGAGCCTCTCCCAAGCGCTCCTCAACTTCTGCCCCTGCGGCACGCCGCCCCGCAGTCCCCCAGCTGAGCAGCCCGCGGGGATAGGGTCAGTAATTGCGGCTCCGCCGAAGAGTGGGGGTGGGGTGGGGGGGTCCCTCGTGGGGAGGGGGCCGAGGCCGGGGTCCGAGGGCGCCGCCAGCTCGGTGGCGGCGGCAGTGGCGCGCCTCGCCCCGCCGCCTCCGCCCCCGCCGGCCCCCGGTCCCTTTAATTCGAGTTCGCTGCCGGGCCAGGTGCGGCGCTGCGTGGCGCGGTGCGGCTGCGGGCGGCGGCCGGGCGCTCCGTACTCGCCGCCCGCGGGACTGCAGAGCCGGCTCCCGGCTGGCCGCCCGCACCCCTCAGCCGCCGCCGCCCGCCCGCCCGCCGCCAGGTCCTGCCGGCGCTGGCCCCAACCCAGGAACATGGAGGCTCCCGGTGCCCATCCGAAAGGGTAAATCGGTGTCGGGGCGTCGCGCTGCGCGTGCTGCCTCCTCTGCCTTTGGCTGCGGCGCGCACTGGAGCTGTGGGGCACCCGGCGGCACAGCCTGCTGCGCTGGGGCGCTCGGGCCGACCACTGCGGTCTGCCCGACCGAGCCCGGGCCGGGGCGGAGGAGAGAGGGCTTGCGCCCCGCCGAAGACAAGTGCGCGAAACGGGCTCGGGGACCCTCTGCGGGCGAGGGGCGGAGGGCGCGGAGGAGCCTGCGGGTGATGGGAAGTGCAGCTGAGCGTAACCGTGTCTGGTAAATAGCGCCGGCCGGCGGGACCACCGGGCTGCGTTCGCCCCTCCGGCAGGATGCCGAGAGCGGCTTTGCGGCGGAGAGGGGCTTCTCCCCCGCTGCTGGGGGCCGCGGGCTGGCGCCGAGCCCCGCGGCTTAGGAGGAAGCGGAGATCTAGGACAGCAGCCGGCCTGTCCACGCCCCGCCCGAGCCCAACCTCGATCGTTTTCGCGTGCAGAGGGTAGCCTCGCGGGTCCCTCAGTTGGACCCTGAGGTCAAAAGCTGGACTGCGCTCGGGGTCGTCGCTGCGGGAGCAGAGCGCGCCGGGCAGGAAGGGGTTAAGGCGGCGCTCGCTGCAGCGGCGGGGCTGCAGGATCCCGTCCGCCGCGCGGAGCGGCGCGGGGAGCGCGCCGGGCGGAATCCCGGCCGCTGCCCGGGGCGCTGCCGCGAGGGCCCGGACCCCTCCCCGCCTTGGGGCCTGGGGATTGGGTCGGCAGGGGGCCAGCCCGGAAGCCGGCTTCCTGCAGGCTCCCCCTCTCGCCTCTCAGCCGGTTTGGCTGAGCGTTTGTTCTGAGCTCCCCGCCGGGGAGATGTGAGGATTTTTCTCTTGGGGGAGAAACCAGTGGTCGTGCGCCTGCCCAGCTCAATGCCACCCAGCTCCAAGGGAGGCCTGCGGCCCAGGGACCCTGGGGGGAGAGTAAGTTCAGCGGCCCAGCCACCCGGCCGGCTCCGGTGCGAGGCGACCTAGCTGTGGGAGGGGTCTCCATCGCCGAGCTCTGAACGAGCGCTTTGGGGGGAGGGGGGCAATGGGGCGCTTCTTTCTGCACAACCTGGCTGAGGTCAGAGCTTGTAGGCAGGCTGCAGTGAGCAAAGCCCTCCCCTTGGGTGGTGCTGTGCCGACCTGCAGAGCCAGGGGTGCGTTGCCCAGAGCCATTCCCCCACCCCCACTCCCCTGGTTGCTCAGGACCAGGGATGTGGATCAGCTCAGGGAGGCCCCTGGAGAAGACAGGCAGCCAAGCCCGAAGGTTTGCTCCCTGGGAGAAGGCGCTTCCAGCCCTGGGAAGCCTGCCCAGGAGAGGCTGCGAGGCTGAGGGATAGATCTGGGCAAGAGCCTGTCACCTCCAGCGAGTGAAGCTGCCAGAGCCCTCCGAAACCTTGGCACCAGCTGCCCCCAAGCCCTGGTTCCACCTTGCTCCTGTTTTTTCCAGGCCGGGTCACACCTCCTGAGGACAGCCAGGACTCCGGCTTTTGCTGAGCTGTGCATCTTGCCGCCTTCCTTGCAAAGGCTCCAGACCCAAGGCCAGCCGCTCTCTTCCTGCACGCCCCTGGCCAGGCAGCCCACTGCCCCTCCAGCTGGGCCCAGCCCCAGAGCTCACCTCCAGGACCTGGAGCCTGCCCTCCTGCCCGGCATGACTCACCATTTCTAGCTCGGTGAGAGGACGTGATGGGGAGTCGGGCGGCCTGTTTGTGTGTATAGGATACCTGCACCATCTGATCAGTTCTGCAAGGGAGAGAGCTTCAGGTTCCTGCCGGCCAGGTAAACCCACCTGTGGTGGAATGGCAACCATGTGTAGAGTTATGGGGGGGTGGGGAGGAGTGAGGGGAGAGGGCAGGCAGAACACCCCAAACCAAGAGCCTGCACGTGATCCCTCCCAGGGTGCAAGCATCTGTAAGCCATTAGTGCAGTGTGTGGGAAAGGGGTCCCCTCCTTGTGTGGGGCTGTGTTCTAGGAAGCTTCGTGGTGCAGAGGGGGGCTGCACCCGCCACCTTCCCCCAGTGCCAGAGCTCCCTTGAAAGACCGACACCTGCTCCCTTCCAATGCCCCAGACGAGTTACAAGGTGAAAGGGAATTTTACTTTCTGGCCATGGTGCTGGTGGTGCTGGTGGTTGTGTCCAGGTGGCTTAGCCCTTGGCTGAGATGGGAGACCCAGGCAGCAGCCCAGGGCAGGTTGCCAATGCCAAGTGGTCTCACGTCCTTCACTGCCTCTGTCTTACAGCCCAGCGAGGCTGTCCCCAGCTCTCAGAGAGCTCTGGGGGCGCCCAGGCCAATGCTTCTGCGCTACCTGGGGCCGTTCGCAGCACCCTGAGCTCCCTGCCACCAGGCAGCTGGAAGGCGTAGCAGGAGGCATTTCTCTCAGCCCCAATAATGACAGTGGCCACCGGAGACCCGGCAGATGAGGCCGCTGCCCTGCCTGGGCACCCCCAGGACACCTACGACCCCGAGGCAGACCATGAGTGCTGCGAGAGGGTGGTCATCAACATCTCAGGGCTGCGGTTTGAGACACAGCTCAAGACCTTGGCCCAGTTCCCAGAGACCCTATTAGGGGACCCAAAGAAGCGCATGCGGTACTTCGACCCCCTCCGCAATGAGTACTTCTTCGATCGGAACCGCCCCAGCTTTGACGCCATCCTGTACTACTACCAGTCAGGGGGCCGCTTGCGGCGGCCCGTGAACGTGCCCCTGGACATCTTCTCCGAGGAGATCCGGTTCTACGAGCTGGGTGAGGAGGCCATGGAGATGTTTCGGGAGGACGAGGGCTACATCAAGGAGGAGGAACGGCCCCTGCCCGAAAATGAGTTCCAGAGGCAGGTTTGGCTTCTCTTCGAATACCCAGAGAGCTCAGGGCCCGCCAGGATTATAGCCATCGTGTCCGTCATGGTGATCCTGATCTCCATCGTCAGCTTCTGCCTGGAGACGCTGCCCATCTTCCGGGACGAGAACGAAGACATGCATGGCAGCGGCATGACCTTCCACACCTACTCCAACAGCACCGCCGGCTACCAGCAGTCCACCTCCTTCACCGACCCCTTCTTCATCGTGGAGACGCTCTGCATCATCTGGTTCTCCTTTGAGTTCCTGGTGAGGTTCTTTGCCTGCCCCAGCAAAGCCGGGTTCTTCACCAACATCATGAACATCATCGACATCGTGGCCATCATCCCCTACTTCATCACCCTGGGGACAGAGCTGGCCGAGAAGCCCGAGGACGCCCAGCAGGGCCAGCAGGCCATGTCGCTGGCCATCCTCCGAGTCATCCGGTTGGTAAGAGTCTTTAGGATTTTTAAGTTGTCCAGACACTCCAAAGGTCTCCAGATTCTAGGGCAGACCCTCAAAGCCAGCATGAGAGAACTGGGCCTCCTGATCTTCTTCCTCTTCATCGGGGTCATCCTGTTCTCTAGTGCTGTCTACTTTGCAGAAGCCGATGAGCGAGATTCTCAGTTCCCCAGCATCCCGGATGCCTTCTGGTGGGCAGTCGTCTCCATGACAACCGTAGGCTATGGAGACATGGTTCCAACCACCATTGGGGGAAAGATAGTGGGCTCTCTGTGCGCCATCGCAGGTGTGTTAACCATTGCCTTACCGGTCCCAGTCATAGTGTCCAATTTCAACTACTTCTACCACCGGGAGACAGAGGGAGAGGAACAGGCCCAGTACTTGCAAGTGACAAGCTGTCCAAAGATCCCATCCTCCCCTGACCTAAAGAAAAGTAGAAGTGCCTCCACCATTAGTAAGTCCGATTACATGGAGATCCAGGAGGGTGTGAACAACAGTAATGAGGACTTTAGAGAGGAAAACTTGAAAACAGCCAACTGTACCTTGGCTAACACAAACTATGTGAATATTACCAAAATGTTAACTGATGTCTGATCGAAACCTCTTAACATAACTCACAGCTCCATGGAACTAATGCAGATGTTGCATAATAGCCTGCATTGTAGTCAGTGTGTTCTACAGTGTGTCTCTGGTTCTGCATGGAAAGCAATAGTTGTGCAAGTGACTTTCGACCTTTTGATTTTTGATTTAGAACACAGAATATCTGTCGTGGCTTTCATGCAAACCTTCATCACCTGCTGTTGGGTTTCCAAAGATGGGAGTCACCTATGGAGCCAGGATTTTAGAAAGACACATTGAGGCCACCTCATATCCAGTACTCAAACCACCATATCAGTGCCACCTTCCTTTCCTAACCAAATGCCCACGACACCCAAGAGATGCACGCCCCTCACCCCGACCCCGCGTCCTGTTTGAGCTCCCTCCCTGCCCCTCACAGAGGAGCACTATCATGGCTTATGGCTTAGCTTTAAAGCTCTGGGTCATTATTCAGAAGGTCATTCCTTTTTTTTTTTTTTTTTTTTTTTTACATTTAAAAGAACACACAGTCCTGTGTGTTAGAATTCCTTTCCGTGTCTCAGGCTGGGGTTTGCAAATTGCAGTTGCCAAGTTAGATGCTCGGGAGGCTCGTGTTTCATAACGGAAAATGCTGCATTCTGCTTTTTCTCTGCAGTGTCGGTGTGAGGGAAGCCCGGGGGAGGGACAGTGAGCATGACGGAATGTGAGTTGTCAAGTTTCACATTGGTTCCCCTAGGCCTGCAGGGAGACACTCACAAACCAAGGGACCTCGCAGCTCCCAGATTTCACCATTTCTGCAGGCTTCAGGGTCACAAAAACATGTGCGACTTCTTTTACACTGGACTTTGAGGAAATCTGCTTTCCTGGTGATGTGGCCCGGCCACACTGACACTGCAGTGAAACTTACCAGTGATGTGCTAGAGCTGCATGGGTGTTCTTGCATGAATCTCAATATTTAAAACACAGGAGATAACCTATTTTCTTAGTAGCCTACACAGTATTCATACTTAGAGTATTAATAGCCATGGAGTGGCATTGAACTAGGGGGTCCCCCCCTCACTGGAAGAAAGGCTAAAGCCCTCTGTCAGGAGAGGAAATATACAATTTGGAATGGGGAACCTAAACTCCTGGCCCTCCAGCCCTCCCATCCCTGCTCTTCCAAATGGGAGTGCAGACATCTGCCAGGCCAGGAGAGTGAGCAGGGAAGGCAGCATCGAAACATCCACGGGGCTGCACCTTAGGAACTGACCTGGTCACAGGCGTGGCTGCACAGCTGACCAGAGCATCATCTGGTCCTGAGCAGAGCCAGGTGGGTCTGTGGATCCAGTGTATATAAATAGATATCCAGTATCTCTTTCAGACATTCCTCTACCTAACTAGCTATAGAAAATTGCATTGGAACATGGTATAAGCTTATGCAATATTTTTGACACAGGGCAATTTATGCATGTGTTTGTGTGCACTAGAGTATATATATACATATGTGTGTATATATATGTACATAGACATATATATACATACACACTATATATATACACATTATATATATATATATATTCATCCTCTGGAGTTCAGGTTCAGGAGCAAATCCACTGCTTGGTGGGTTGGTTGTCTAAGAGGCCTACTGGGTTCATCTGTCTCCTCGGTGACCGCATCGGGGCCTGGGTTTGCTGCCAGTGCCTCAGACACTCCAGTCTTCATGGATTCCTAGACGTTAGAATTGTCTTTCTGCCCTCCACGTGCTGCAGCTTCAGTTCCCCGCGGCTGAAGCTTGTCTTACTGAGTGCACAAGGGCCCCCAGGCCCTCACAGCTCCAGCTGTCCTGGGCCAGACCCACCCCAGGCCCCCTGTCTACAGTGCATCCTGTTCATCATCTCCATTCTCACCTTTCCTCACCCCGCTTGGTTTTCATTATCCATCACTTTCAGGAACTTGTCCCTGATGGACCCTGCTCTGAAACCAAGGACACCAAGGGGTAGGACTCCCTAGGACCAGATTCCACTGATTGGACTTAAAGGGACCCTCCCCACTGTGGAGATCTCTAGAGTCCAGGGCCAACAGATGGAGTCCCTAGACGATCCCAAGGCACCAACTTGACCACCAGACTCAAGCTCTTCGTCCATTAAATTGACAAGCCAGGGCTTTTTTTTTTTTTTTTTTTTTTAACAAAGAACCAAAGGATAGGAAACCAATTGTCCCCTGGCCCCGAGAACAGGTGGAGAGCAAACGGGGGCAGTGCATGGCCTAAAGGCTGGAGCAGGTTGGCCCTCGGATAAGATGGGGTTGGGGAGGAGGGAGGGCAGTGGTCTTGCCACACGGGCTTCTTTGCTCTTTCCCACAGCAGTGAATCATGGTATCTGGTTCCAGTCCAGTTAGCACCCACAGCTGTCTTGGGGGGTGGGGCACCAGCTTCAGGTGCTAGGCCCAGGGTGCTCACTAGTTCCTGGTCACCCGCATCCCCAGGTGGCTGCAGGGCATCCCGTGCCCAGCACAAAGCCTCCATGCTTTTCTTCCTCTCCTCACGGGAGGTGGTGCTGAATTTCCAAGACATGGGGTGAGAGGGACAAAGGCTTTCAGGAAACAGAAGGGAAAGCAGCCATATCAGAGGCTCAGGTCAGGAGGCAGGGGTTTTTATCTCTGTGTCCTTTCCTTGGCCCAGGACCATAAAATCTTCACACATGCAAGCATATCCACCACAAAGTAGAGAGTTACAACATCGCCCTGCACAGGTGCAGAACACACAACACACATATCAAATACACAGAGCCCAAACTAACATACAGGGCAAGCACAGAAGATACATGGTTAAACCTAAATAGACACACGCATTATCGCTTCTCGGCCTTTTGGCTAAGATCAAGTGTAGTGTCTGTTCTTATCAGTTTAATAGATACATGCATACTCGATACAGACACGGATCGTACTTAGCAATACAAAAGACCTACATACACCACGTACAGGTACACAGCCTGTAACTCAGACACAAAATGTACAGAAACTACATAGACACAATAGATATGCATACAGAATACTCACAGGATACTTTGCTGTCATTTCTGTTTGCAGACAGTGCACAGTGCTATACTGGGCCCACATGTCCAAGAACATACACACGAAACACTCCAGATGTGGACATATGCTCAGATCCTTTGTTCTGCCCTCAAAGCAATGAATTAATAGGCATGCAGAAAAGATCAGGCCTGATCACTTTTCCCTAATCTATGTCCATATCCCTTGGTATTCTTCAAGAAGTCACTTCCCCCAGACTCTTCTCTTACCTCCAGATTTCAATCCCGAGAAATTACCCTCGTGATTTAAAGCAGAAAGGTGAGCTACCCCCTTAAGCAGATGTCTGATGAAGACCAGGATTCTCATGGGGTTTCTGCCTGTTCACCTTTCTCCCAGCAGAACCCTGGGTGCAGGATGTGGAAGGACCTGAGACCCATGGCAACCAAGTATAGACCTCCCTGTCCTTCTTTCAAAGTGAGTCCACACAGCCCCACAGCCCAGGCCCCCTACCCACAGTATCCAGGGCCTCCAGATGTGGCCCTGTTCTCTAAAGAGCAGTGGTGGCTGTGCCACTGCAGGATCCTGGGCACAGGCCAGGGTGAAGAGGCCCCCAGTGGTCCCTATGTGCTCAGAGCTCCATGCCCTTCCATCCCCAGCAGCCTTGGTAGTGGCCAGGTCAGAACGCAGACGCCCTGCAGAGACCTTGCTCTTCCAGTGAGCACCTGGGCATTCGCTTGAAGAGATCAAGTCCTGTCCCCACCCCACTGCTGGGGCTCCCCCTGGATGCCCTGCCTCCCATCCCAAGGCTGTGCCTAGAGGAAGTGGCATACCAATTCCATGTAATTAAAACATGATTCAGGACATAAACCTAAGGCTAAAGAAGCGAACTTTTTTTAAACATGGGTTTTTATAGTTTAAGACTAGATTTAAAACTTCCTAAAATGATCCACCATTTTGGATGAGCTGTGGACCTGGTCCTTCCTACTGGTGGGACTAGCTGAGAGGTGAGTGCATTTTGGCAAAAGCTTCCCGAAATGTAAATCAGGCCTTGTGTTCAAGCCTGGATCAGGCGCCACAGTCTCTCTTCCTGCACCTGTCCCAGGTGTGCCGAAGCCTCCCCTGCTGTTGATGGTCACAGCTCCTGTTCTGCACCCAGGGAGCAGCAACAGCAGGGAATGAAACCGTGAATCCAAAACGCATGCATCTAATACAACCTGCTGGGACTTGTGCTTGCAAGGCCAGGTGCCAGTTTTCCTTTGAGCTTCATCAGGTGCCTCTGGACTCAAACCTTTGAGAAAGTTGGATTTTCAGGAGGCCAGAGGGGAAGGAGGTAAGGTTGTCAGGAGCAGAGAGTAACTGGGCTGTTCAAATTTCTGAGTCAACTTCTCAGGAGCCCCAATTCAAGGATGCTATTATGGCTCTGAGCTTCCCCAAGTGGAGTGGTATTTGATTGCTCTCTTAGCTTCTCTGCTGTCCTTGGGGGTTGCCGCTCAGCTGGGCTTCTGAGGATGGCATCCATGTGTGTCCTTGGAGTGTCCCTCAAGATTCCATTGGCCTGAGCCCCCATTCTGCCCCAAGAGGGTGAGGGTCTTGGAGCCAGCTTGTCCTTTCTGCTCTCCCTGGATCTCTCACTCTGTTGTAATGAAGACATTGGCCAACTTACTTCCTCATGATCAGAGTCAGCTGTGCAGAAAATCCTCTGGCCCAGGGTTCAGTGCTGTGCACATGGTGGAGAGAAGAGGTAGAGGTGAACTTCCCCCCAGAGGGAGCTTTAGTGTGTCAATTGCAGGTGAGGGTGGCACTGCTGTGTAGCAGACAGACAAGCCCAGTGCTGACTCATCCACCCAGGAGAGAAGGTGACAGTGCCCCATTGTCATAACAACCTGCATCAGTCTGAGAGGGCTGCCACGTCCAGGGTGCTCCTTGGTTACATAGCGGAGGTTCCTCCAGCCTTGGCAAGGAGTCCATTACCAGGTTTGAACCCACGCCCTTAACCTCATGAACCTCATTAGCCACCCGAGTCGACCAGCAAGCTAGAGGATGCTGGGAACTGTCTCAGTAGCTCTTGTGACCAGTCCTGTTCCCCTATCACAGTGGCAGCAGGGACAGGCGGAGGTAGGAGGTCCTCTACAAGCGGGGGTGGGTCTCTTCCTCATTCTGATCCAGTTCACTTCTCCATCCCTTCTGCTTCCCTTGCCACCAAAGCTCAGTTCCATCTCTCATAGTTTGTGTTTGAATCATTTTAAAGAGGAAAAGTGCAATAAAATAAACCGTGACTGTTTTCTTTAGCAATAGCTCTTTCAAAATCTCACTCTCAGGACTGAAAAGTGATAGAAAGCACCTGGAGTATCAGATAATGCTCTTGATTTCTGGACGCTCGTTCGGTCTGTGGTTCTCTCTTCTTCCCACGTGTTCACGTGACTCCTGTGCTCTGAGGTCTGACCTCCTTCTGCAATGGACACATAGGCAGAGGTGCAGCCTATGCCCAAGGAAGGCCTTCTTTTCTGCTCCGTCTCCTTCCTGCGTGCACCACCCTGTGTCTGCATCTCCCTGCCCCTCTCCCATCTGCCTCCCCCGTTTCTGTCTGCTGTCGCCCGGCATCCTCACGAGCTCTACACACTGAAACCTTGACTTTGAATGACCTCACGCCAGCCCACCTTGCTGGCCCTCTGTCGGTCTGGCAGGGTGTCCTGGCAGCCTGCAGGAAAGCACTTACCAATAGATAGGAAGACAGCGTCCTGAGCCATCACGGAAGATCATTTCCATGCACTCAAAGCCATTACCTGATCCTCACGCTTCCCTTCTTCCTTTCCCCAGGGAGACGGATGCTGAGGGCATGCGACTCAGAGGTTTGCACCTGGGGTCAGGAGCCCAGGCCAATTTGGGACTTGCCCTCTGTCCTTCCTTCAGGATAGGCTGACTCCATGAGCACTGCCAAGGGGAGCAAGGTCTTGTGCTTTGGGGTCGAGATCTACAGGGCACTTAGGGCATGACAGCCGTGAAATAAAGATCCCACCACCCACTAGAGTATGTCAATGCACAAATATTTGCACACCCCACCAGGGGCTTCAGATGATCCCCTTTCCCTCAGCATCTGGGAGGTCAGATAGTCAGACTGGACAATCAGGGAAGACTGGCAACCCCAGGACCCACCACATTCCTTTTCCATCTACCCTGCCCTCTACACGTAAGTACAGCAAAACCTCAGCTAACCGACGGGGAAACCTCAGGGAAGGGAACTTTCTGGTTACTCTGCAGTTCTGTTGAGTGACAATGGGAAACCATGTGTGCTTCAACCTTTGTTGTTGAAAAACAAGTCCTAAGTAGGTGAGTGTACACTTTCCTGCCTTAGTAAGCAGAGTGTTGGACGATGACAGAAGACCTTGCCTTGCTCAGGGTCCATCTTCTAAACCTCAGTGCTCGATGTACAGAAATGGAGATGGAGCAGACCAAAGAGACAGGCTGAATGATGCTAGCCACAAGAGAGGCCAGAAGTGGGCCGCCGAGCACGCCCTGGCTAATCGGTAGTGCCCTTGCTGTCATTTGCCTCTTTCTCCTGAAAGAATAGTAAGAAAACATAATTTTCGTCAATGAAGGTTTTGGTTCATTGGTCCTGAGTTCTTAGGGGTTTTCCATATATACATATATCTCTCTGTGCGTGTATATATGTATAGTATATGTATATATGTATACCATTATTTAAAAGTTCTACGAGTATACGTTGACCAAACTCCCGGTCTCACTCATGTAATAAATCTGGCAATCCAAGGAATCAGCTGCATTGGTTTGAATTTTTACAATGGTCTTCCTTTGCCTTCTCTCCCCATCTCCAGTTCCGCTCTCTTTTCTCCTGCTTGGGGACTTGTCCAGAAGGCAGTTCTTTCACAACAAAAGAACAGGCTCCAGGATCGCCTCTTTCCTTTCCCTCCCAGGCGGCCGCCTGACTCAGGGATAAAAGGGAAGTGTGATCCCAGAGCCAGGTGCTCGGGCCTTTATTCTGCCTGCCCTGGCTGGCTGGAACCTCATCACTGAGCACCAGAAAACTGAGCCCAGCTCTGTAGCCCTGGGGGAGTGCAGAGCTGGAAGACCTGGTGGAGGACTGTTCTGTGTGGCTTTCTCTTTGCGATGAGTAGTGCCCTAGGTTTGCATTCGGTGAAATCTGAAAGTCACCTGTTTAATGAGGAACAAGAGTACACCTCTGCCTCCTGGAAGGAGAGCTTTGTGGAATCCAGGGAACTAGCAACTCATTCTGCGGTTGATTCTAAGTCTAGGCTGAGAGTTGGTTGCCCTAGAGCAGCTACGGTTTGGTTGCCTTTTGGGGGGTGAGCTGTGTACGTCACTCAAGAAAGCAGGTGCAAGCTGAAAGGTGTCCTCATTCTCTATCTTACCTTGCATTGTGGAGACCCATGGGTGATCACGTTGAATGTGTGCCCTCTGCCTGGCCCTGGAAGGGAGGGGTTTCTCCCTGGCACATAGAGCAATTGAGGTGGCACAGAGTGTTTTTCATCTCCCCTACTCCCAGGAACCTCCCCACGCCATGATCAGGTGGTATGAACCCATAATCCAGATTTAAACCGGGGCAGTCGAGGAAGGCCTGTCTGGATGCCTGCTTCTTACACTGCATGAGCCTCGGCAGACAGAACGGTCTGTGCCTGTCTCTGCTCCTAGAATAGTGAGATGTGCTCCAGATGCATCGGCAGCTGAGAAGTCCCTGCCTCATCCCACTGTCGGATGCACAGGGCAGGTGTGATTACATAATTCCATGGACAGCTGCTGCAACAGCTAGATAACTGAGGGCAGTATCTGCGTGGCTCCATTATTGGGCCTTTGGTAGCTACCCAGAGGACTTGAACTTGGGTCTGTGTCTTGTCTCTATCATTGCGAGAGGCCTTCTGAGCTCTGCTTCTCCTTGAAAGTGATTCCCTCGGTGCCAGCTGCCTCCTTTGTATGAACGCCTCACCTCCCAGGGCTGCTATGCCAGCTGCCTCGTTTGTATGAACGCCTCACCTCCCAGGGTTGCTGTGGGAGGCGAGTGGAGATGCTGGCAGGGAGGCACTGTTCAGGGGCTCACTGTGCTCCCAGACAGTCTCCACGCCAGCTGCTGACATTTCTGCCTTTTAAACTTAGGAAGTCGCAGGGCAAGGACCTTGCTCTGCCCGGTGGGGCTGGACGGGAGCAAACCAGCCCCAGGCTGAGCATTGGGATGGAGGGGCAGGAAGGGAGGCCTAGCTGGCTTTGCAAGGGTGAGTCTCAGCTCCTGAGGGTTTGACCAGGCTCTGTGCTTGCCCCAGTTCTGCCTTCACGTGGGATCCAGCGACCCAGTTTCCTTTTGTTCTTGTGCTTCGATGGTTCCTTCGTCTGAAGGGCCCCAGGAAGCTGGGAAGGCCCGTGACTGGGCTCCAGCCTGCTAAGCAAACATTGCCCCAGCCAAATGGGCCTCTCCCTGGGTTTCTGCCTCCCTGCCACCCCTCTGCCACCGAGGGTAATCTTGGAACAGTCAGGATTAGTGGTTCCAGCAATCAAGGAGGATTCCGTAGCTTTCATCAGGGCCGTAGCTATAAAGCTCATGAGTGGAGGATGCTAGCTCTTTTTCCAGGCCTGTGTGCTTCTGTGCTTAGATAAGCCGTCTCTGGAGATTTTATATATTATGTGTATGTGTGTGTGTGTGTGTGTGTGTGTGTAGATATAAAATGTGGACATGGCCGCTCACTTAAGATCATGCAGCACAGACTCTAATTAGGGTTTCCGCTGGTTTCCTCGCTGCTCGTGCGCATGGCTCTGCAGCTGCCCTCCCGTGTCCTGTCTCTAAGAATTGCTGAAAACTCCAAGAGGAGAGGCAGATAAATAAGCCTCCTTGGGATCAATAGGAGAAGGAACTCCGAGGCTGATGGTAAAGCTTCGTCAGGATGATGCCGAGAGGGAACTGGGGTCTCCATGGTGATAAGAAGCTGGGGACCAATGGGAGCCGAAGGCGGAGCAGGACTTGTGGAGAGGACTCATGGGAGTAGGGAGTCATTTAACTCTTTGTTTGCTTTATGAAAATTTAGACACCAGCTGTAACTGCATTGCACAGGATGTGTAGATGTTATCATTCTTGCTGACATAACTCTGGAAGCTTGCAGCCCCACCAACACTGCCCCACCCAGAACTTCTGCAGCTGAGAGTTCCTGTGTCAGTAGGGTCTGATATTTGTACATAGGTTATACATACATGTGTACATATGTGCCTCAATGAACATTGCCTGTCCACCTGATCATGGGTGTACATAGTCTTCATAGAGCTCCACGGTCTTTTGTAAATATTGACACAAGTAAATAAGTATATAAATATATATTGATGAGGATTTATTTTAACATCATTCTGTGTGAAATGAAAAAAAATAAAATTTTTGACAGACGCCAATGGCTTCCACCTTCTCTGTTGCCTGCTTGGGCTAGTGTTCCTACAACACGTTAAGTATGCATGCCCCGCTCCCAACCCCATTTCTGTGGCTACGAGGGCCTAGACAGGGCAGAATGGGAAGGGGCACTCCTGGGTGCATCAGGGACCACCATGGCCATGTGTGCACCTGCCCTTGCCTGGGAGCCCGGTGTAGGTTAAGCAGGGCATAAGTGGGAGGAGGGAGCATTTGGGCCCATCTGCCCCATTGCTTCAGCACTCCCTGTGTCTTCCACGGAGCTGGGAAGCGTGTGGGGAAAGGCAACTCTCAGGGAACCATCGGCCCCCAGATGCACCCACTTTGCTGGCCCTGTCCCTGAATCCACCTCTGCTTCAGTGGTCTGTACCAACCACACCGTGAACTCCCAAGTGGGAGAGTGTGTCCCTTTGCTTGCCTCGGGGAGGGGCCTGCTTCTGCAGCGGCACACCCTCGGGGAAGACTCTGACATGCCCACACTGCGGAGGCACATCTAATTTCCTCCAGGGCTAGTCCACTCCCTGACCCGACTCTCCAGCACTCAGATGGCAGGTAGGTGGCCATGGGGTAAGCCCAGCCTTCAGCCACCAGCTCCTTCTCCACCTAAGACTCTCACTGAAAATCTCCACTTTTCCCCTTTCCCTTTGGTGGTGCTCTGCCCTAGGAAACTGACCAGAAGAGCAGCTGGTCTCCCTGCTCTGACCTGTGTTTCTGGGCAGTGGGCACTGAGGCTACAAGGGAGGGGTGTAAGAAGAAGAGAATCATTTGGGACAAGTGCTTCTGCAGGCCCCATCACAGTGAGCGTTTCCTTGGTGAGGAGCGGGAACCAGAAAGCACCTATGAGACTCAAGAGCTTTGTAGAACCTTCCCAAGGGGCCTAGCAGCCAGGGCTTCTTGTCCCAAGGCAGGACATGAGTCAGGCTCTCAGGCCTGGTGCCTTCTGCCTTCACAAAGCTGAGAGCTGGGGGGCTGAGGGGAGTTTCGTCTGTCCCGACTGGTTAGTTTTTGCTAGACAAAAGCAATGGGAAAAGGGAAGACCAGGGGGCAGTGATATGTGGAAGCTGCCCATCAAGGTCCCCATGCTCCATTCCACTTTGGCAAGGGAGCTCAGCTAGTCCCAGGTGCAGGTCACTGTGCCACTGGAGCACATTGCACCTTGCCCTGCTTAGCCGAGGGTTGCCGCCCTGGACGCTCCATCACAGAGGCTGGAGTCCAGTGAAGAGACACTCAATGGGATGGTGTGCAAGGTGGGAGAGGGGAGAGCCCACCTTGTCCAGGGCTCACTGTGGTGGGCAGGGAGAGCAAAGCGGCACCAGCACGGCCGAGAAACAAAATGAACCCTAGAGGCAGACAACAGCTCTGCAGCCAAAGGCGGGGGCGGGAGGGGAGGGTGGTTCAAGGCACAGCTAGGTGCAAGGAATCCTGATGCCTACCTTATCTTGTGAAGATGAAATGCGTGTCTGGCACCACGTGAGAGTTCAATAACCACAGGCGACTGCATCCTACACCTTGGATTCCCAGGCCCAAAGGATCCGCATGGGGCAGGACACTCAGAAGTCAGGCATGCAACAATGGAAGGATTTCCAACCCCTTCTGATCCAAGGTTCTAATCTAGACCAAAGACTGACCCCAGGGGTCTAGAACCTGAAATTATACATGATGTGGGGGTATGGCCACTTTTCTGGGGTAAGGGTCCACACCTGTTCACATCCCAAAGGTAGAACTGCTCATCAAACTTAGACTCCTCACCTCCCCCTCTGTCCAAGGGGGACTTGCTCAGGATTATTTTCACCTATTTTTTAAAAAATCATTTACTCAGAAAATAATGAAGTACTCTACCCTTTGCGTCTTCCAGTCAAGAACGGACCACAGTGAGTTAATGGTCCACACAGAGCTAGACCGGGCCCCTGGCCCCAAGGCTTCTTCTTCCATGAATCTGTCCCGGGGCAGTGTCTGCAATGGGCCTCAAGCACCCGAATCCAGACCTGGAGTCTCCCCGGGTTGGTTGAGCACAGCACTGGAGGAAGAGCCACATGTTTTTTATGTGATATTAATACTACTTAAATGATATGTAAATGAGGCAAGTCTGCAGGTCTTTAATGGGGGGGTGACTCTGAGGACTGGTTATCCTCTCCCTTCTGCGTCCTCGAGCCACGCCTTCACACACTCCCTCTCTCGGGCCAGGACACAACACACCCACAAATCATTGGCTTATCGAGAAAAAGATCGTGGCTCTTTGGCCTTATATCTAGTCCAAACTGAACACCAGCCAGGGCTCCGGATGCTTAATGGCTTGTAGTGAAGTTAGGAGGAGTCTCCCATCTGCACAGCTCCCTGCACCAAGGGAAGTGTGCCTCTCTCCCGGGTCTGCTGCCATGGAAGATTTACACTCTGTCTCACTGATCATTTGGGGAGCCACCAAGAGCCATGTGAGAAGCGAAAGCACAGCCATCCTGTTCCAGTGACTCGTGGTGCCTCCCTCTCTCTCCCAGCCTAAGCCAGGCATCTTTCAGTGTCTTGTGAATCTCTGACTCCCCAGCGTTTGACACAGAGCCAGGCACAGTAGATACTCACTGAATGAGTGAAACTCTACATCACATAGTCACACGGTGGCCAAGACATCTACATCCTCGGAACAGCAGAGAGACGGTCGTGTTCCAGCCCCCGCTTACCTGTGCATCGTTCCCCAGCCCTGCTCTTCTGGTATCAGACAGGGTTCTGGGTGCAGCAGATCTGAGTCACCTGAGTCCAGGGCCTAACGCAGACTCCAGACAAGTTGCCCTCCAGAGCCTGCTCCATCCCACACTAGCACCAGGGCCAAACCCTTCGCACATCTCAAAGAGCTCTAAAGGCTTATCCAATCCTAAGGCTGAGTGATGGTGTTGCCTTAGGAAATGCTGGGCCCTGGCATCAGGATTGGGTTCTGCTCTGGCTTTACTGCATACTGTTTTGTCTATGGGACCCGGCAGGGAAGCTAGCATCACTAATCTTGTATTTTTCTGTCTCAGTTTGAGATTGAAATGCTTACCTCACAGGGTCAGCATCAAGATTTTAAAAAGGCTGTGTGTGTGTCTATGTGTGTGTGCACACATGTACACATATAAGGTAGTCTGCAGGTGCCAAGGTGGGTTTTCTTTGTGCCACTTGCCCTGCAGAGCGCTGGGTATGCATGATGTCAATTGATTGTCACAACAGCCCTATGAGATGGGAATTTTTATCTGTATTTTACAGACTGGGAAACTGAACCCCAGTTTGTGTACACAGCCCAGGGTCACACAGATAAATTAACTAGAAGAGCTTTGTGAGACCAAAGCCCACCTTCTTAACAAGCGTGACAACCGGAAGGTGTTAGTTCTTTTGTCACGATCACCTTCTCCTGCTGTGTGATTGAGGGCACACAGGTAAATCTTGCAACACAAGCAAGAAACCTCATCTTCTCCAGGAGCCTTAATGCAAGCAAAATAGTCCCTCTAGCCTGGGTGAGCTAGGATGGGCATGAGCTCATTCTGGCTTGAAGCCCTGTCTCACTGAGCCTTGGAAAGCGGCAACAGAGAGCTATGGGACAGGGAAAGGCCCCACCTCAGGGAAGGACTGCCTCACTCCCCTTGAAGAGACAGCCAGAACAGGCAGAGAGCCTAGCCAGGGTGCCCGGGTTCTAACCCCACCCTAGAGGTATAGAGTGAGTCGGCTCCTCCCAAATGCTGATCACAGAAACAAGGCTGGGATGCCTGCTGAGCCCCACTTCTGTCCCCTGTCCCTGAGTGTTTAAGCCATCGAATAACAGGCACCTTGCCTACACACCCCACAGCCCATCCTCAGCCTGCCCAGCATCCTTGCTCCAGATGGGGCCAGACTTCCTACACAGCCCCACCTATTTGCCCAGCCCCTCTCCCTGCCCCTGGTACCCTTCCCATCCAAGATGCTCCTTATGGTGGCTGTGGAAGAATGGAGGGGCTCCCCTCCTCCTCCCTCAAAGGACAGAGAGGGGATGGAGAAAGAAACACATACACAGACATACCTACACACATATACACACATGTATACATACATGCATACATAGATGCACGCATACAGTCATACACTTACACACAAACACACATACACATGAGCATACACATATGCATGCACACATGTACACAAGAACACATATACATACAAACATATAGACATATACACGCTCATATACATAAATACATGTACACACACAAGAACACACATACATATACACACATGCATACATACACACACAATCACATATATACTCATATGCATACATACATGTACGCACAGGAACACACATGCACACTCATACAAGTACACATGCATACACAACACACATACAGATAAACATAGACATACACGTACACATAAATCATACACACATAAACATGTACATGCACACATAATAAAATACATATATATAGACACATACACACTCATACACATACATACTCATACACATACAAGCACACACACATATACACTCATTCACATATACACATGCACACATATGGTCACACACACACATGAATACACACACACACAAGCATAGTCAAATACCAACAAAGTCCTAAGGGACCCTTGAAAAGTATCCATCAAGAGCATGAGGGGCTTCCTTGGACAAAGGAGGTATCCAGTAAGCATGCTGATGGAATAAATGAGTCAAGTTCGTGTATGTAAGGAGCGCCAGGCACGTGCAGGCATTGTGCTGGGCAGCCTGCCCACGCTATGACGTGCAGCTCTGGAATCACTGTGGGATGGTAGTCAGCGTCTCAGCTCGCAGATTAGGACACCGAGGCTCAGTAAGGGCCCACACTCACCCAGTGAAGGAGAAGCCAGTCCAGGACCCAGCTCCATGACCACTCAAGGCCATGGACGTCCTGGTGAGGTCACACTCAGATGGTGTGACAATGCAGCAAAAGTCACCAAGGCTTCAATTCTGCCCCCCCACCACCACCACCACCAAGCCCTCTGACCTCTGGAAAAC